ACACTATTACAGTGCCACATCACAGAAAACTCCAATATAAAAGGGTGTATCCACTTCTAAAAGCAGTGAGGATACCCTTACCAACTTCCCAATATAATGGGCTTTGTAGTCATCCAGGAAATTCACAGGCTGATCCACTCAGGAACCTCTGCTGTATCACGCAGCCCACCCCACTCTCTGGATTCCTTAGACACTTTGCTCCCAGTGTCACCACAAAAAAACACAGGACATAGTGTGATACCGCCAATAAAATAAGTCTCTGATTGGACAATATATAGAGGCAGGGCAGTAATTTCATGCTCTCCCCACTTTGTCCAATCAGAGAATTCTTTGCATCCATTGAGAAATTCTAAGTTTTAACAGAGTTATTTTGGTTCAGCTTGGACCAGTAGAAATTGCGCTTACTACAGTGAGTTCCAGTTTTTTAAGTGATCCTGCAGGTATGGCACATACTGGCACATACTCACACTGATCCAAGCCAAACCAATGTAATTATGTAAAAATTTGAATTTCTCCAAAAAAAAATGCAAATAATTCTCTGACTGGACGAAGTGGAGAGCATGAAATCACTGGCCTCTATCTATCATCCAATAGAATACAAAAGCAATCTCAATAACGTGGTAGAAACATCACTGCCTCGACTCTATACCTCATCCAATTAGAAATCTCTTTGCATTCATTAATAAAAAAAGCAACGCATCATCTCTGAATGGTGCCCATACGAAGTGGCCAACCTCCTAAGTCAGAATTCAGCTTCTGCCGCTTGACATGTCCAGAGCCTATCCAAGTGGGAGGAAAACAAGAAAAAGAGCAGGAGGTCATACATAGTTTGGGTGATATTTGGAGACCAGATTTGGTGAACAAGTTATAAATGGCTTGGACGAGGTAGTGAAAGAGTCATCACTACCTCGTCTCTATAACCTTTGCATTCATTGAAAAAAATGCAAAATCTCTGAATGGGTGTCCATACGAAGTGGCCAACCTCCTAAGGTAAGAATTCATCTGGTCGTGCCACTTGGCATGGATCTCTAATGGAGACCACTGTAGTAACAGTGTAGTAGCAATGTCCCATTCCTGCTTCTCGTGGGATCCCACATACATTGTCCAAGTGGACCAATGTACCCCTTGCAAGAGTCCCCTATACCTGGAATTATTCCTTAAAAAGTTGGCAGTCACACACCGTTAGAATTTCTCAATGAATGTCAACATATTCTGATTGAAAACTAACCAATCAATGGATTATGTATTCATTGAGAAAAAATGCGAAGTACTTCTTAGAAATAGCAGTGAGGATAACCAAACAACACCTACCAACTTAACCCAATATAATCATATAGGGTAAAATGAATCCACTACCAATATAAAAGGGTCCACTTGATTTTGCATGAAATATAATGCAAAGATGTCCCATCAATAACTCCAACGGTGTTGGTCAAAATTAGTCCACCTCAAAAAAGAAAAAACTCATATAGTGCATTAACCTTTATCAAATAAACTTTATTACTATATTTCATCCAGTGAAAATAAGTAAAAGTTGTGAAAAACCGTGAACCACACGTGATCAGTGAAAAACACCACTTCAATGTGCATGGCCACATCACAGAAAACTCCAATATAAAAGGGTGTATCCACTTCTAAAAGCAGTGAATACCTTTACCAACTGGGCTTTGTAGTCATCCAGGAAATTCACAGGCTGATCCACTCAGGAACCTCTGCTGTATCACGCAGCCACCCCACTCTCTGGATTCCTTAGACACTTTGCTCCCAGTGTCACCACAAAAAAACACAGGACATAGTGTGATACCGCCAATAAAATAAGTAACATACACTTTATTAAAACTGCTCACATTGCCAAAGCTTTTTCCCACTTTTAACCGCATTAGAGGGAGTACAGAAGGTGTAGGAATCTCACGGTCATCCAGGGAGACACGTCCCGTTGCTCCTGCTCGATCTCTCCCTTATTAGAAATGGCCGCCAGGTAACTTCCGGTTTCCGGGAAAACGTCTCGACGTCACTCCACCTTGACGCGTTTCGTCATCGACTTATGACTTTGACTAAGTCGATGACGAAACGCGTCAAGGTGGAGTGACGTCGAGACGTTTTCCCGGAAACCGGAAGTTACCTGGCGGCCATTTCTAATAAGGGAGAGATCGAGCAGGAGCAACGGGACGTGTCTCCCTGGATGACCGTGAGATTCCTACACCTTCTGTACTCCCTCTAATGCGGTTAAAAAGCTTTGGCAATGTGAGCAGTTTTAATAAAGTGTATGTTACTTATTTTATTGGCGGTATCACACTATGTCCTGTGTTTTTTTGTGGTGACACTGGGAGCAAAGTGTCTAAGGAATCCAGAGAGTGGGGTGGCTGCGTGATACAGCAGAGGTTCCTGAGTGGATCAGCCTGTGAATTTCCTGGATGACTACAAAGCCCATTATATTGGGAAGTTGGTAAGGGTATCCTCACTGCTTTTAGAAGTGGATACACCCTTTTATATTGGAGTTTTCTGTGATGTGGCACTGTAATAGTGTTATGCACATTGAAGTGGGTTTTCACTGATCACGTGTGGTTCACGTTTTTCACAACTTTTACTTATTTTCACTGGATGAAATATAGATAAAGTTTATTTGATAAAGGTTAATGCACTATATGAGTTTTTTCTTTTTTTGAGGTGGACTAATTTTGAACACCGTTGGAGTTATTGATGGGACATTTTGCGTATTTTCATAAAATCATAGTGGACTTTATATTGGTAGTGGATTCATTTTATAATAATTGGGTATCTATATGATTATATTTGCTTTGGAACATTTGTTAATAACACTGTCATATATATAGTTTGGTACACCTTCAGGGGAAGGTGTTGTTTGTGTTATAGGGTAATTATAGTAGGGTAGGAGGTGGTTGATTTCTAACCATTCAAAGAATGCTTCGCATTTTCTCAATGAATACAAATCCATCTCATTAGACGAGGTGGAGAGTGTTATGTCTCCTCTTCACCTCATTCAATCAGAGAATATGTTGCATTCATTGAGAAATTGCTAATGGTGCCTTCCACAGTGATTGCTCTTTGCCAATTGTTTAAGGAATAATTCCAGGTATGGGGACTCTTGCATGGGTACATTGGTCCAGCTTGGACAATGTAACTCTGAATACAACATACCTGTGGGATCCCACGAGAAGCAGGAAATCACTGTAATAGACATTGCTACTACACTGTTACTACAGTGGTCTCCATTAGAGATCCATGCCAAGTGGCAGACCAGATGAATTCTGACCTTAGGAGGTTGGCCACTTCGTATGGACACCATTCAGAGATTGTGTTGCATTTTTTTCAATGAATGCAAAGACATGAGGTATAGAGACGAGGCAGTGATGTCACACTCTCTACCTCGTCCAAGCCATTTATAACTCTGCCCCCAATTACATCACCAATCTGGTCTCCAAATATCACCCAAACCGTACTCTCCGCTCCTCGTATGACCTCCTGCTCTCTAGTTCCCTTGTTTCCTCCTCCCACTACAGGGGTCTCCAATAGGCTCTGAGATCCATGCGAAGCGGCAGACCAGCTGAATTCTGACCTTAGGAGGTTGGCCACTTCGTATGGGCACCATTCAGAGATTGCGTTGCTTTTTTTTTAATGAATGCAAAGAGATTTCTAATTGGATGAGGTATAGAGTCGAGGCAGTGATGTCACACTCTCTACCACGTCCAATCAGAGATTGCTTTGTATTCTGATTGGATGATAGATAGAGGCCAGGCAGTGATTTCATGCTCTCCACTTCGTCCAGTCAGAGAATTATTTGCATTTTTGGAGAAATTCAAATTTTTACATAATTACATTGGTTTGGCTTGGATCAGTGTGAGTATGTACAGTATGTGCCATACCTGCAGGATCACTCTAAAAACTGGAACTCACTGTAGTAAGCGCAATTTCTACTGGTCCAAGCTGAACCAAAATAACTCTGTAAAACTTAGAATTTCTCAATGGATGCAAAGAATTCTCTGATTGGACAAAGTGGAGAGCATGAAATTACTGCCCTGCCTCTATATATTGTCCAATCAGAGAATCCTTAGCATGCATTGAGAAAAGGCAAAGCATTCTCCGAATGACCCCTCCTGCCCAGCAGATGTCCTCCTGCGTTCCTCCTGTGCAACATGGTAGCCGCTCTACACTGGACCCGGAAGCTAGAGGAGATCACTGTAGTAGTGGTGTAGTAGCGGTGTCTACTACAGAGATTCTCAGCTTCTGGAGGGATCCCACAGATATGGTATGTACATACTGTAGATACATTCATTGAAGCTGGACCAATGTGACTATGTAAAAGTATTCATACCTGGAATTCTTTGTTAAGTTTCTAAATCCTAATGGTTCTAGAAAATCTCTAAGTCTGTTTCTGCTCCCAGCTTGCATATGGGGTAAGTTTGAGGACTCATAATCTGGCAAAACCATGTTTCATGTGTTGAAGGATGATTTCTAATTAAATTCACATCAGCAATATCTAGATATCAAGTGGCAGGGCTAACTCGTATGGTTGGAGGTTGACTATTTGGATCTTTACATATAATCTGTGCCGGGACAAGGTCATCCAGCACCCAGGTCCAAGATGCCAACCTGCACTCCCCCTTCCCCATTCATGATGTGCTATCCTAGGGGATACTACACTCAGCAGTCACTCACTTGTCAAAATCACTGCCGCTATCGGCCTTGTAACAAAAGGAAGACACCCTAATCCCTAATGTAAACCACTGTACCCAGGGCAGCCGCCCCTCCCGCCCCTCCCGCCCACCCTTTGCCCCAGCCCTGCATGTAACCAACATAAGGTGCTTTTACTTTCAGTCTCTTGTGAATTCTAAACATTTATCACAGCAGTATGTCAGTCATCTAAGTTCTATACTATGTGGCCAGCTGGAATATAATTGATATATTGGGGGCTCATAGGATACATTTAGAACATGTGAATAGTAGTTAGGCTTCCAGTGAAGGCAAGGACCGTCACCTACCAATTCCGAGCTTGGTACAGTCATTTGTTGTGTCGTTGGCGATGGAACATCTATATATATCACCTGTCTTCTGCGCTCCATTTTGATCGAAGGGGGCTCCAACCACCAACCTGTCAAAAAGGACATCAAAAAAGATTACAAATACAGACATAGTAAGCCCCGGCAGGAGGTCTTCGTATTGACTGCATCCTGTCTATGTGGTCATCCTGCCATGCGGGAAGTTTCGATGTTAGCATGATTGTGGTTTTGTAAGAAATTAATTCTGTGTTACATACGAAGGACAGTATACTAAGAAAAAGAAACAGTCTAATAAAAACTGACATTTAACATTGAGTAGACACAGGTTTCTCATATAACTGTAAGATACTTTAATGGAAACATTTTAGATCCATTTTCCCAATCATAAGTTGGCGTAGTTACTGAGCATCTGGATCTTATAGATTTGAAAATAAGTGTTCATAGCCAATTGAGATACCGTCCATCTTGCCAACTATCCAGTCTACCTTCCGTGTTCTATCACTGCTTCCTACATTGGAGCACTGGAAGATATGGCGGTTGGTCCAGTGCAATGATAGAATATGGAAGGTAGACTGGATATTTGGCAAGACAGACAGTATCTCAATTGACTATGAACACTTATTTGCAAATCTATAAGATCCAGATGCTCAGTAACTATGCCAACTTGAGATTGAGAAAATGGTTCCAAAATGTTTCCATCAAAGTCTTACAGTTATATGAGAAACCTGTGTCTACTCGATGCTAAATGTCAGTTTTTAATATAGACTGTTTCTTCATATGTAACACATAATGAATTTATTACAAAACCACAATCATGCTAACACTGAAATGTCCTGCATGGCAGGATGACCATAAAAACAGGATGCAGTCAATGGGAAGACCTCCTGCAAGGGCTCTTGAAAGGGCCAGATACAGCCATTTGCTTGCTTTTATCTGGCCCTTGGGGCACTATTTTCATCCATTGACACCAATGAAGGGGCAGAATTCCTCCCAATGACACCAAAGATGGTGAACAATTCTTCCTAATGACAGCAACAATAGGGCCCAATGACACCAAGGATGGGGCACAATTCCTCCCAATGACGCCAAAGATGGTGAACAATTCTTCCCAATGACAGCAACAATGGGGCCCAATGACACCAACGATGGGGCACAATTCCTCCCAATGACACCAAAGATGGTGAACAGTTCTTCCCAATGACAGCAACAATAGGGCCCAATGACACCAACGATGGGGCACAATTCCTCCCAATGACGCCAGAGATGGTGAACAGTTCTTCCCAATGACAGTAACAATGGGGCCCAATGACACCAATGATGGGGCACAATTCCTCCCAATGACATCAAAGATGGGGCACCACTCCTTCCACTGACACAAAAGATGAGGCATTGTTTATTCCACTGATGTCTGGACATTTTCTACTCCCAACAGCCACAGCCCTGCCCCCCTTAAGTCTAAAGGACAATAAAGGTGCCCTTTGTTTAGAAAGTTTGGAGACCCCTGGACCAGTGGAAGGAACATGATTGACTAATAAGTGCTTTACACCATGGGTGGTATTGGTATTTTTAAATTTGTCAGTAATTAAGCTTTCAATTCTGACAAATAATTGGTTAAGCATTGGCTACAACTTCTACAGCAACCCTCTACAATGTTTTACAAAGCCACCATACTGCAGTGGTCACATATCTAACCAAGCAGCAACTGATAAAGTCCTATAGACTATATAAAAGAAACACTACCAAAGCAGCTATAACAGGGAAATAATAATGTTTCCAAGATGACTGGACTACTTCCAAAATGGCTTAATAGACTTGAGTCAGCCAAAGTGTTTGACATATTTGTGCGTCACTAATCTAAGCTGGATATGTCACGTCACATAAATTTATGGAATATGGAATGTAATCAAAGCAAAATTAAATATAAAATGAGGGAGTGAAATACATCATGATGAACTAAATAAACATTGGTTAATGTGTCCTTTGGCTTACAAAACATTCATAGGGTCTGATTTACCAAAATAAGAAGTCTGGTGAAGTGCAGAAAAGTGCACCTGTGTTCACTTCAAACGTCTGGCCAAGTGAAGAAGAAGCCCATTTCTATTGGGCATGATTGGTTGTTTGAAGGTTGGTTGACTTCACATCAGCTGAAATTAGTCTGTTCTTTGGCCACACTAGCCAAAATAATATGTTTACTTTAAAGGGCCATAACTCTAAGTACTGCACGAGAAATAGATAGGACTAATAATGAGATAATATGTCCTAACGATGTGAGGGTGGCCCTCTTCCATTACATGATTCAAGGCCACCTTTCATACCAACAGAAGTTGGCTACATATTTGTTTCCGGCTACAAAGCAAATCACAGCCACAACTTGGAAGACGGCCATAGTCCTGTTCCAAAAAGTCAAAGACCGCATGAACTCAGTGTTGGTTATCGAGAAAATGTCTAGCCTTCCTAATGACATACAACCTAAATGTCTAAAAATATGGGAACCACGGCTTGGTTATGTCCTACCATTTTCAAATTCTTCTAGCCTGAGTTATCTATAGTCCATTTACCGGGCCCTCTTGCCTGAGTCCATGGGGGATACATCCCATTGTGTCCCTCCCTTGTTATCCTTCCCTTTGCTTTACGTCCTTACCCTGACCTCTGCCCTTGACCCTACCATGGTCTTTCTTGTTCTCTTCCCACTACCAGTCTTCAGCACAATTCTCCTCCTTCCACTCCAAAGACCACATGAACTCAATGTTGGTTATCGAGAAACTGTCTAGCCTCCCCAATGACATACAAGCGAAATGTCTCAAAATATGGGAACCATGTCCTACCATTTTCAAATTCTTCTAGTCTGAGTTATCTATAGTCCATTTACCGGGCCCTCTTGCCTGAGTCCGTGGGGGATACATCCCATTGTGTCCCTCCCTTGTTATCCTTCCCTTTGTTTTACATCCTTACCCTGACCTCTGCCCTTGACCCTTCCATGGTCTTTCTGGTTCTCTTCCCACTACCAGTCTTCAGCACAATTCTCCTCCTTCCACTCCAAAGACCACATGAACTCAATGTTGGTTATCGAGAAACTGTCTAGCCTCCCCAATGACATACAAGCGAAATGTCTCAAAATATGGGAACCATGTCCTACCATTTTCAAATTCTACTAGCCTGAATTATCTATAGTCCATTTAACGGGCCCTCTTGCCTGAGTCCAAGAGGGATACATCCCATTGTGTCCCTCCCTTGTTATCCTTCCCTTTGTTTTATGTCCTTACCCTGACCTCTGCCCTTGACCCTACCATGGCCTTTCTTGTTCTCTTCCCACTACCAGTCTTCAGCACAGTTCTCCTCCTTCCACTCTTCTCTCCACCTCCCCCATCTTTTCCTATCTGGACTTACCTGCCCACTCTGTGGTTCAGACCACGTATTCGCTATATTCCAAGCTCATAAAGGACCTTCAAACAACATCTTCTAATAGGTCCAGATAATTCACTGATGTATGTGCTTGTTCATTTCTTCCTAATTGTAAACCTTATCAAATGCAGACAGAAATGGCACTTTGGATTGAGACAAGTACACAATATAGAGGGATATGCTTTGTTCATATTTCATATCTGAGGTTCACATTTCAAATCTGGAGTGCTTCCTTAAGATCTATGAACAAACTGCACAGCTATTCCTCTATATACAGTATGATGATTGCCAAAATCCTACTGGAGAGCCTCCCAGGAGAATTGAAGCTGCTTAGTGCTATCTAGAAGCCGATATATCAGAGGCACAAGCTTAGGAGTCACCATTTTTATGTTCTGCACTGAAACACATAATGGTTGGAAATTGTTTTTTTTTTTGCAATGTAAGAATTTCCTGCCTTGTCTCCAAGTAATAATTCCGTCATTTACAGATATTATACACATGAACTTGCTAATATACAATTTTAGCTAACTGATAAAAAAAAGAAAGGGGCTTCTATGAGATCATTCAGTTATCAATCTATATTTGTTTATACAGTATGTCAGCTCAGAACTCAATAAAGACATAGAAGAGGGGTATAGTTCTTTGAAGCCGTTGTAAACCTCAGACATGAAAGCCCAGAAAAAAGAACCTAGTAAAGGAGAGGATCGGAGGACCGCACCTGGGAGGAGTACAGAATGTCACTTCCTACTACATGGATGTAAAGTTAGCAGAACTTAGGGTTTGCCCCAAAGACACCAGCTGCTGGAGATGCCTCTGTGTCAGGAAAGGCAAAATGTGCCCAGGTGTATAGCTATGTTGAGACAGAGAATTCTTGTTAGCCAAACCTGTGCTTGGGCTCATGCGCGCACATGTATGCGCACCAGCATGCACGCCCACCACTAGATTGTCCCCACCTTGTGGGCTATTTAAACATCTCTGCTGCACTAGGACTTTGCCTTATGGTCTACAGCGTTCTGCTGCTTGCTACCTGTTCGTGTGCCTGATCTTCTGTTGCTATCCTGATCCATCTGACCACGCTTGAACTCAGCCTGAACTGACCCCATCTTGCTTTTTGACCATGTCTTTGCCTGATCCCTCTGTCTGTTTGCTTACCTTTTCCAACTCAAGCCTGAACCTGACTACTCTTCTGCCTGCCGCTCTGTTCCTGATGTGCTTGCTAGCATCTGACCCTGCTCTGTGTCCAGCCTGTAATGGTCCAGCCTACCAAGTGCCTTCTGTCTGTGACTTGCCTGCCTGCCAAGTGCCTCCTATCCGTAATCTGTCAGCCTGCCAAGTGCCTCCAGATTTTGACCTGCCAGCCTACCAAGTGTCTCCTGTCTGTGACCTGCCAGCCTGACAAGTGCCTTCTGTCTGTAATCTACCAGCCTTCCAAGTGCCTGCTGCCTGTGACCTGCCAGCCTGCCAAGTGCCTCCTATCCATAACCTGGAGGCCTGCCAAGTGCCTCCAGTTTGTGATCTGACAGCCTGCCAAGTGCCTCCTATTTGACGTCTACCAGCCTTCCAAGTGCCTGCTGCCTGTGACCTGCCAGCCTGCCAAGTGCCTCCTATCCATAACCTGTCAGCCTGCCAAGTGCCTCCAGTTTGTGATCTGCCAGCCTGCCAAGTACCTCCTGTTTGAAGTCTACCAGCCTTCCAAGTGCCTCCTGCCTGTGACCTGCCAGCCTGCCAAGT